TTTGCACGTATAGGAGGACTAGGAGGAACTTAATGGAGGACCAAGGAGGAGAAGAAGGGGGGAAATGGTGGGGGAGAGGGAGAGAGGCAAACCATGAAAGACTCTTGAATACTGAGAACAAACTGAGGACTGATGGGTGTGGGGGGTTGGGGGGGGGGAGATGGGCATGGAGGAGGGCACTTGTGGGGATGAGCACTGGGTGTTATATGGAAACCAACTTGACAATAAACTATTTGTAAAAAAAGAAAAAGAAAAAGAAAAAAAGAAAAAGAAAAGAAAAACAGAATGGTTGCAAGCATATCGGTTGGTTACCCTCGTTGTGATGGGGCTGAATTGTGGTGGTGGGTCACTGCTGCTGCCCAGAATCATGACAGGGGATTGATTGTTAGCCCAGGAAATAATTAAAATAAAAAATTCAAAATACAGTTTCTTCTGAATGTGTCTCATTTTCATACCATCGTAATGTCAAAAAATTTTAAGTTAAACCATCATAAGTCAGGGACCATCTGCACTACAAACAATATAAATGTTCGTCAATAGGGGATTAGTTTGATAAAAACAGATTATGGTATTTAACAAATATGATTATCTCATTTATGTTAAAATGTTTACATGTGTATAAAGCAGTCTAGAATATTTAGCAAATTGATAGAAGTTGTTACGTTTGAGAGTTGAGATTCTTAATATCTCTCTGTATTATTCAAATGTTTTACGTCATTATCAGGAAAAACATATTTTCATTTCTGAAAAATATCCTAATATGTTGTGAATAAATTTTTCTACACCATGTACATATTTCTACAGCATAACTTAAAACTGCTATAAAATATTTCATATGGTTTATACCATGATTTATTTATACATTTTCCTCTTGTGGGCATTGAACTTATTTCTAGCTTCTGTTTTATACACATCGTTGCAGTGAAGAACTGAAGGACATTTTTCAGTCAGTATGCGTATAGCCTTCTTTGAGGTATTTAACACTGTTGACTCCTTCTGTCTCCTCTTTTGGCTTCCCTGGTGGCCCTCTCAGACTTCTGACATGACTTCTGGCCTTCTTGGGGGCTTGCCTTTCTTCCCTAGCCCTTTATGTGACTAGGTTCCTGTCCTATGGCCTCGTCCCCTAATACTTCCTTTGGTGATGTAATTTACTTTCTTGGCTTTAACTAAATGCAGATAACTGTTAAATGATTATCTTTAGCCCAAATGCCTCCATCTAAACTCCAGATCCTTATATTTAACTCCCTATGGAATATTTCCAATTGGATATCTTAGTGGTACCTCAAAGTCACATAGCTGAGTCTGAACTTACTTGTCTTCCCATACCTGCTTATGCAACTTTGTTCATTATCTCTGTGGATGGTGTCATTCAAGATGCTTCCATTCTCTAACCATTCCATATCCATCTAATTACTCAAGCAGTAAGAGTTAACTCCTAAATATGTCTTGAATCCTTACCCTCTTCTTCATTTCTGCAACCCTGTGTTGTTCATTCTCTACTCATCTTTTCACCTTCTCTGTCGTCCTCCCTTCCTCGCCCTTCCCTCCTTCTCTCTCTCACCTCTTTCTCTTTCAGTCTACACTCATGTTGCTAGAGTGACTGTTTTAAAATGCAAGAGAGATCAGCCAGTTAATCAGTGCCTCATGGCCTTCAGGATAAAGTTTTCCTGGAAAGACACTCAAGCCCTTCCTCTCTGACTGTACTCCTGTCCATCTACCCCTAAGTTTCTGTCCTACAGAACTACTTTGTTCTCAAGAGCCAGTCATGCCCATGCAGCACCCTCTGCCTAGAATACCCTGTGCTAACTATCTTTTTCTCTTACTCATTCTTCTTGAAGAAATTTAGACATTAAGTCCTCTAGGAAACCTTCCTGACCAACCCATTCTTTCACCCCCATCCACAACCAGATCTGGATTAGGTGTTCCTACCATGTGACTAAATGTATCCATAGCATTTTCTTGTCCACTAAATTTTAAGCTTATTAAGGACAGAGGCCATTCTTATTCACCTTTTGTTCTTATGCCCGGCACGGTATTCAGTTGCAAGATTAGTGCTCATTAAATACTTTTGAATGAATAATTGGTATATACTACTAAATTATTAATATACACCAAGCTATAATTATACTATTGTTTTATCTCACAGGATTTTATAAAAGGATTAATTGAGCCTGAAACAGACAGGCTTTTTAGAGAAGATGAAGAAGAAAGTATGGAGGATAAGAAATTTGAGCAGGAAAAGGAAGAAGAGAAAGAAGAAGAGGTAAGATGATTTAATATTATATTTTCTTTTCCTTTATGTTTTTAAAGCGTATGTATAGAGGTACTATTGAAAATATAAGTAGATCACCTGGAATAAATCAACTCCCATCCTTTCTTCTTACAGTTTAAACATAACTGCCGACACCCTTAGCTCTTTATTTTGCAAGGAAGGATTGTCCTCTTCCTTTTCAAAATCCACCTACTTCCCATCAGCCTCATTCACACCGCTCCTATTTCCTACACTATCTGCCTCTCATCCCGATGCTGTTTCTTTACCCTTTCATTGTGAGATTTTTCAAAAGCTAATTTACACTCCATGTGTCCACTTCTTCAGCTCCTGTTCCGGGCTGCCTTTCCCCTCCTCCCAGGCCCACACCGTCCCTCTCCTTACCCTGTCTCCACCCCTGCTGGGGCATTAGTAATCATAGCAAGCCTTCCTGGGGCATGCATAATAATGATGAAAAGGCAATGATAACTACCAATAATTGAGTGAGCTGCATGTTCTGTACATGTTATCTCTTATATACACAATACAACTTCAAGGTAAAAATTATTGTGCCATTTTACAGATAAGAAAATTGCAGCTCAGGTCATGTGACTTACCCTCAGTCAGACAGATAGCTGTAAGTGGCAGAACGAGCATTCAAACCCGGATCAGTCTGGCAAGAGCCCTTTGCTGATTCCTGGATCGACTATTGTTCGGCTCTTAGAACTCATGAACACCTAACATTCTCTGTACTGTCTTAACCTCCTTCCCTGATGTTTCTTCTCTGTGAATAGTTTAAATGTTGGCCTGATTCCAGCCTGTGATCTAGGTCCTCTACTTACTGTGCACATTGGACAGCAAGACAAAAATATTATACAACACCCAAGTCTCTTTGGACCAGCATTTTCTGTTTTGTTTCTGGTACAGTCCTTGGCATATGGAAGACACAAAATAAATGAAAACAGTGTTATTTGGCCACTAAATCATGTCATACCTTGTAAGTGTGCAATGCATTCCCTCCTCTCCTCTGTGGCCTTATTCCCTGCTCTTTCCTCTCTACGTTACAAACTCTTTGTTCAGCCTTCAGGTATCACTTCCTCTCTAAAACTTCCCTGAGTGTCTAGGCAGAATTCAGGGCTCTTTGCTGGATGCACACAGCTTTTGGAGCACACCTCTTTGCTAATGGCAATCTTGCATACCAGCATTTTCTGGGCCATCTCTCCCACTGTGCGGTGAATTCTTGGGGTCTGGAAGAAATCCTCTTTGTTTTTCTCACAGTTTTCTCCCCAAGTCTCCACTTCCCTGTCCCCACGAATTTCTCACGCAGTGTTTTCTATAACTCTTTTTTTTTTTTCTTTTTTTTTTTTTTAATTTTTTTTTTTTTAACGTTTTATTTATTTCTAGGAGAGAGAGAGAGAGAGACAGCGTGAGCAGGGGAGGGTCAGAGAGAGAGGGAG